ATATTTTTATATGCAAAGATAAATGTAATTTGAAAAAGAAAATGTTTTGTTTAAAATACATGTATTGGACTAAAAATTAAAGTTGTGGAAGGCATAGGCTGAGAGAAGACAAAATGCTAGGAAAAGGAATCATGTTAGTCAACAAGAGATAGACATCCGAGCTTACTTAGATTTTGAGGTAGACAAATTATTAGACTTTGACAATCACATAAGAAGTGTGTACAAACATTGGCTAAAAGCAAAGAAAGCGGGATACAGGATTAGTGACCGACAAGCAATAGGTCATCTGCTAGAAATTCTTGCACCTCGTGAGCAACGTATCAGGAAGCTTATATAAGAAAATATGCTATCTCAAATTTGGAAAGTGAACCGAAGGAACTTGACTTTGAGGATTTTTACAACGCCTATATCCATAATTGGGAGACTGATGGTGATGTTATCTCTTGCTCGGGATTTGAATCGACAATGACTTCAGATGATGAAGTTGCACAACCAATTATGGCAAATGCCAATGATGATGAAGAAAAAGATCTAGATGATGACCCAGAAGATGGCCAAGAGCAAAACGAGTAGATATTACGAAGATTACTCATTTATTTGAAAAAAAAAATTAATAATAAAATTTTTCGAATTGTTTTTCGTATTTCAAGATGTGGTCAACGAAAAAAAAATCAAGCGATCAAGTTATGAAATATTTCACTTTGCTATTTCATTCCAAGTATTCTGGTATTGATATACAAATTTAATAAAAAATATTATTTTTTATTTCAAAGAAAATGTCTCGACCAAATTAGAACAATTTGATAAGGGACCTCTTACAAGTAGTTCAAGATCTCGATAGACTGAATCAGAATCAAGCCACTCCACCAACTTCTATTACTCTCCTGATGGAGCATCTAGTCCACTAGTAGTTGAGAAATAGATTCGTAAGTTAAAACGAATTTTTAGACTCATAGACTGCACTGACACTCAAAAGGTAAAATGTGCAGAGTTTATGTTTACAGTTGATGCAAGTCACTAGTAGAATTTGAAGTCCCGAACTAGGACCCAAGGGCAGCAGTTGACATTAATTTGGAAACAATTCAAGGAGAAAGTGATGGAAAAGTATCTTTCTCAATCTTTAAAAGATTTCAAGGAGAGCGAATTCCTTCAGCTCAAATAGGGTAATATGTCCTTAACTGATTATGAGAGAAAGTTTGACTAACTTTCAAGGTATGCTCCACACCTGGTTGACACGGAAATTCAGAAGACTCGAAGGTTTGAGCAAGGGTTAAACCCAGACATAAGCATGATTCTTATGTCACATCGTTTTACATCATACCGTGAAATGTTAGAACGAGCTCATGCT